TACATACCATAGTTGTTTGAAGTTATCAATGATCACATCAAATTTCTGGTCAGTACTCAACTTTATAGATTTTTCGGGGCCCCTCACCGTCAAGTAGTTGTCCAATTTAGTCTCAGTTGGCTGCTTCACATCGCCTCATTTATTGGACACTTTAAACTTATCCTTCATGTATTTGGTCAGGATATTTGCATAAAACAAATGACACCTTGACCACCTCAGTGTTTGCTGCATCTCTAAGCATATAAGGGCACCCACATTGACCGTTACGCCCATCATAAGGGCATAGGTTAACAACACAAGTGTGCGCCACACAGTACTAATATGCTTGCATGGTAAGATCCCGTTACAGATAAAGTTTAGATAAACTCTAGACTTCTGGTTCAAATACCTGTACGGTAGCACATGGTGTCGACTCCGACCTTTTCGCTTCCACTTAGCCTACTTGTTGCCATCACATAGAACTTCTCTGGTTCTAGCATAGTCACGCTGCTTTTTCCAACTAAAGTCATTATTTGGGTTGTAGAGTCCTAAATATTCATTGAACGCCGCCGAAGCTTTGTGAATGTCAACCCCTCTTGCCTTAGATACTCCGCGCTCCCAATCTACCCAATTGGCATATAATTCCTGAACCATTATGATGTTGGCATCACCTACTGGCTTGAAGAATGCAACCCACTGGTAGTTCTCTATTAAATCCTTCCGAATCCCCTTGTACCTCTTCTTCAATTTTTCCACATCTACAGGTCTTTCTGCCAAGTACTTCTTTCTCTTAACCATTTCGAAAATCTTTGATCATTGCTACTTTAGTATATTTATTGTGAAAGAGTTGTTTCGCCTTTGTATATCCTTTGCCCACGTAAGCGAGTTGAGGTGAGGTCGTTGCCCACGTATATATAAATGAAAGAGTTTCGCCTTTGTATATCCTTTGATTTTCTTTCCCTTCCCCTTGCTTGTTACATCTTTTGTCTTGGCGTATACCTTTGGATTTTTGTATGGCGAGTCCCGTTTTTTTTGCTTTTGGGAATTCAAACTTTGACCGAACCGAGTAGGGTCTCATTGTGCGAGTCTAAATAGAGTTGCTTCGGACTCGCTTATTTGGGCGAGATTGGCTTTCGATTTGTCGCTTTAGGCGGGATCATTTTGGTCGAATCCGGATTCATCATTCCGAGCAAAGTCAGTTTCGATTTGAACATTTGAGTAGGATTGAATCGACTTACCGATTTAGGCGAAGTCGACTTTTTCATATGTGTTCGAGCGAGGTCAAACTTTTCGTGAAGTTAATTTCTGATCTATTTGAACGAGGTCGAAAGAACTTTCTTCTTTTTTTGTTTGACGATGGCCGGTGGCCATAAAGGTGTTATTTTGAGTAAGATCAAGATAGTAACACATTCGGTTTGGCGAAGGTCATTGGCCATGAGGACGTCATTTTGAACTAGGGTTGAAATGTTAACCCATTGCGATTCGAACGAAGTCGAATCTATCTTTTAGCGATGGCCTTTGGCCGTGGGGGGTCATTTCAAAAGTCGAAATGCTAACCCGCTATGATTCGAGCGAGGTTGAATCCTTCTTTTGGCAATGGCCTTTGGCTGTGGGGGTGTTATTTCGAGCTAAAGTCGAAATGTTAACCTATTATAATTTGAGAGATGTTGAATTCTTCTTTTTAGCGATGGCCTTTGGCTATAGCTGTGTTATTTCGAGCTAAATTCAAAATGTTAAACCCATTGTAGTTTGAGTGAGGTCGAATTCTTCTTTTTAGCGATGGCCTTTGGCCGTAGGGGTGTTATTTTGAGCTAAAGTCGAAATGTTAAACCCATTGTAGTTCGAGCGAGGTCGATTTTTTTTTTGGTGATGGCCTTTGGCCGTAGGGGTATTATTTCGAGCTAAAGTCAAAATATTAACCAATTGTAATTCGAGCAAGGTCGAATTCTTCTTTTTTGCGATGGCCTTTGGCCGTAGGTGTGTTATTTCGAGCTAAGTCAAAATGTTAACCCATTGTTTCACTATCAGATTTTGGAGAATCGCGGATCACCGTACTGTTTGTGCATACGTTGGGGTGAATCCTGGCGTACTCGGTTTTTTTACTGGAGAATATTGGGTATTCCCTGGGGGAATCCCGGTTTTGCTTTGCTTCTGTGTTTCCTGGGTGAGTTCCAGTTTGCTTAATTTTGCTTGCATTGGAGAATACAACGCATTTTCTGGGTGAGACCCAGTTTGCTTAGTTTTGCTTGCGTTGGAGAATATGATGACGGGGAGTATAGAACGTTGCTGTTTCACTCATTGGAGAATGCTACACATGTTCATTCCATACATATATTGGAGAACTCTCCACGTCTCTAGTTTATTCATCACCAGTCTGGGGAAGTAGTCAATAGGCGGGGTGATGAATCATGCTTGAACTTCGGGACGTACCCCTCGTCGCCTCTTCAAAACCTCCCTAAGAAAGCCCAATTGGGACAAAACCCAGATAAGGGAAGAAGATTGCGACTTGAGGGGCGTCCCTTTCCGGAAGTTGAAGTATTTGAAGTGGGCGACATTCCAATTATTTTGTAGTGGTTTTCCTTCTATTGTTTCTAGTTGGAATGCTCTTTTGCTTGCTTTCCCGTGCAAGTGCTCGCGTTACTATTTAAACCAACAATAGAGGATAAGCAAAAATAAAATTTTCCGTACCTCGATCCAACGGGTCAGTGAAAGGAGCGGCGTTGTAGCATTACTCGCTCTGCCTGGTGTTCGAATGGCGGTTTTAAATTTGACGGCCGTGTTCAGCTTCGTTTTTAACAACGTCAAGGCTTCGTGTAGGTTGGGCCCACCTCTCTTGCTGAAGTGTTGAAATCGAGTCCCGGTCCGATCTCGTTCAATTTGTACCAGCAACAGGGGAAACATGCCATACTTTGTTTATGGACAATTTAATGCCTGGAGGAATGTGAAGGTAGGGAAGGATGTGCCATTCTTTCAAAGGACTGCATAGCAAGCTGTCGTCCCCTCATGAAGGGTGGGAATACGGGTTAGTATATAAGGTAAATGCATCAAATGGGGGCGTGGTCATGCCAGATGACCATGATCCTATTCTGAATGTGCGTACGTTGTGCTAACCCTATCGCTACTGGCGAGATGTGGGTTTTACATAGATATTGGTTATAACTTCTACTTTTATGTAGCAGCCTAACCTAGATTAGTACGGTTGTCTCGAAGGTTTATTTACTGCTCTTTCGAGTGGGTGGAAACATTTCTCCGGTTCTAGATCTGAAGGAAACTAAGAAATTTGGCTAAGAAATCCCCACAGATGGCGCCAAATTGTTTCCTCCAAAAAAGTGTAAAACCATTTTGACAAACTAATTATTAATAATATGGAAGGTAAATCTTAGCCAAACATAATTGATCCCAAATCGAAATACACAAAACGGGAAATAGAAGGATAAGAACTTGTAGCATTTATTATTATAATAGTCGTACATCAAGCAAGAGAGATAAGCTTACATCCAGAATGGATTTACGTCATAATCGCGAGATCCAGAAAAAAGAAAGAGAGGGAAACATTGATGAAGGAGAGATTCCTCTTTTTGACTCTCTCATAGTAGCTGTCTTGAATCCCCCCCCCCCCCCC